CCACAGTGGCAGCAGCAGCAGCAGCAGCATTTTGTGTTTGGACCAGCACAAATGTGCGTGTGACAGAACAGACAAACACTTCACAGTCCATAAAGTTTACTTCAAACCAGGGGAGTTGACTATTAAATTAAAAAGACAGAAGTTTGAAGATGGGTCAAGTTCTGTGTCAGCTATAATGCAACTTGAGAGAAAGCTGGAGAAAGTGAATCTGAAACTCTGTATTGTATTTGTGAGATTTATTAATTTGTTTTGTTGAGACAGCTTCAAAGTTTAACAAATGAGTGTACACTTATAGGACAACCATACATGCACATAAAAGTTAAATATAAGAGCTTTTTCTATGGTAAAATGAAAAATAAAGGAAGTATGTACTGGAGTAAAAATTGTGTTATTAGTATTCAACAAAGCGGTACTCAACAAAAGATACATCAAAATCAAGTTTATATTTTCAGGCAATTAGTGAGATTGCACCTACATAGGACGTACACTAATGATTCTAACATATTTTTTGAAACACAAATACAGGTATTGAAAAATAGAAAAAAAAAATGTGACTGAAGGCTGACAAAAACCTTTTTTGTTTCATTCTGATTCGATAATGACACATTCTTTGTGATAAAACATCTTTTTATATGTATTTTAGATTCAGTACAGCCCAGTTAACAATTACAAGCAGTATTATTTTAATAGTTGAATAGTCACAAGTTTTCCTTTTCACTGTTGCAGCCCAAATAAATTACACAAAAAAAGATTAAACATAGTCATCGTTATAGTCAGTCAGTAAAATGCAATTGTAAACAAAAAAAGATTTATGATCAGTGCTTTATCTTATCAGGTTGAAGTTCATCTCTGTTTGCATTACCACCAACACCTGCCCCGCTATAGCCTATGAATCACTTACAATTATTATTACAGCAACAGAAATCCTGAAAGACAGATTCAGCAGCAACATGTTATTCAAAAATAACCCAAAACTCATTTTACCATTGCAAACATTTTAGTGTCAAACTGTCTGACCTTGCCTTACATTGAACAATACAGATACCACTTTGCAATCAGAGCGGTCTTGGTTTTTAAACGTTAAACCACTCGCTCTCGTCATGTCACAAACTACAAGGACAAAGAGGTCCAGCAGTGACGACAGATTGATTTGGGCACCTCCTGTGTTTCTGGTTCAAGTGCTCAGGGACAGTCTGTGTGTTTTCAAAAGCAAAAACTCCCACAGTGCAGCACATCATTTATGGCCCACTTGAACGCCTCACGCTGATCCTCTAACCTTCACTGGCTTCACTTCACAGCTCACAATGTTCATGTCAATGGACACAATACAAAAGAAAGAAACTGAACATAGCACATTCATTATTAACAGAGATTGCCATGCAGAGGAGTGGCCTAAGATTGTACTCACGTAAAAGTACCACTGCCAGAAAATAATATGACTGAAGTAGAAGGTAATGGTGTAAACAATTACTCAAGAGTAATAATTATTTTATCAAGCTACTACTACTCAAATAAGAGTAATTGTAAGAGTAACTGTCTGGACATAAAAACCGATTTATAACTGGGAGTTAATTTGGTCAAAAATATAAATAAATACATAAATATTGTGGATTATATAAAGGGTAGATTACAGAAATGAGAAAAACTAAATCCTATATGGGGAAATAAACTTCGGAAATATAAGTTATATTGTCAACATAAAGATTATGTAACTTGTAGACTTACAGTGGAAAGAGTAATGAAAGCATTTACTCAAGTAACAGTATTGTTACACGGTAATACTCAAGTAGGAGTAAAAGTATGGTGTCCGAAAGACAAAAAGTAACTGTTCACAAGTGAATGTAACCGAGTACTACCAAATTCTGATCTCAGGTCTGAAACTCAGTTAACATAAATAAGGCATTAGACTCATCTTGCAACAAATCTCAAACTTAAACTACCACGCAAATTTTCTAGTCAAGTTCATTAAATTGAAAACTCACTCGAACAGTACTGCATGATAAAGGTGACTCGATTTGTCCTGCATACATAGCTCTGAACCCTGTATCAGAATAGCATACGCTGGCACTGTTTAAGTCAACTACCCATCAACGCTGCAGGCTATAATAACACAACCTCGATCATTTAGCACGACTTCCTGATAAAAAATACCAATCTCCATCAGAGTTTATATACCCTTTTAAATCAATACTTTATTCACTTTTAATGATGTCATCTCATTCACAATTTCCTTGAAGCTTGATACTGGACAACATGGACGCTATGTTAAAAATTCATTTGGGTGTATTTACTGAGGAGGTGTGCGGAGATGGACTGGGTTATGGACGACTATGAAGACGGGGCCATCATTGCAGCAGTGGAAGCCGAGAGGCAGTGAAATAATCAGGTTGGTGGCACTGCAGTGGATCAAACAGGAGCTTTATGAGAGGTGAAGCGCTGGAACACACTGTAGTCATTCATGAGGGAAAGCTTTGAGGTTCCCCTGTCAGCGCGTGGTGCAGCAGAATCAAATGAATTGGAGTTGTGATAAAAAGGAGGGGGGGTACTACGCAGTGATTTAGCTCAGAGGCCCCGGTGATTTTAGGGTGTTTTCAAATGGAGTCATTAGAAAGAAGCAGGTTTACAATTGTGCTGTGGGATTAGTGAGAGAGTAGCTGTGGCAGGTTGGGCTTGGTTCTCTCTCCCGAAATCAGTGCGTCTATAGACAACTGTGATGTCAGCAATTCAAGTGATGTTATTCATTTTAATATTTTAACAAACAAAAATACACTAGGGGTGCAGTCAATTCAAAATCAAAATGAGTTGGTGCAGTTCTCAAATCTCAAAGGCTGGCTAGAATCATTTTAATAATAAAATGTCTTCTGCAAAGAACAAAATATCCTTCCTGTATTTTTATAGACAAGTTGTAGCTTTAGTTTCTGAATCCTCTGGAATGCATGACGAGATTCTTATATTAGTTAAATCAATCCATATTTAAGTCCCACATGCTGAATGAATGAAGAATTCTACTATTTAAAGATATATCTACAATCTAATCACAAGTGCAATACTTGAAACTTTTTTTTTAATGCAGCCCTACAGCTCAAATGAAAATACTTGACCCAACAAGCTCCTGTCAATGACTTTTGACAATTGTAGATGTTTAAGAGTCCCATATCATGCATTTTTTGCACTTTTGAAAGTAGACATTTTTGCCTTGTTATTCCTGTAGGATACTATGACATAATATGCATTTTAGGCATATCTCAGTCTAACTCATGAAGTTTGTCTGTATCATAAATGCTAGAACAGAGCAGTGTATGAACATTTAAAATACAATAGATGTTCTTTAGTGCCAAAGAATAGTACTTTCTGGTATTTTTACATTTTAATTATTGACATTTGACCTTCTTCCTAATGCGGTAATAACTTTTGCCTGATAAAGCCACTGTGCTAATCTACAGAGGCTTTGTCAGAGGCATTATCATGAAACCAGTGTGCATGTGCTAACATGAGAACACATGTGACAGATTATATAGTTATTGGTGAAGCATGACTGATTGTCCTCAGTTAAAGGCAATGTAGCATGTCAAAGAAAAACTAGGATGTTGATAATGAACAAAACATGCTCAAGTCTAAACACAACATAACATATAGGCACACAGGTATAAAAGACCAGACACTGCCAACACCACAACTGAGCTCATAATGCACGTGACACTTTCATCATCTGAAATACATAAAAATGGTTGCTTTTAAAATGAGTGTAATTTCAGTCTACAGCACAACAGCCTTCCTTTTACTTAATCCCTTTTTACTTCTGTTATTGATCAATGTCTGTTTCACTGTTTGATTATCTAATCTTCTGTTAAAATCAATGATCTTATTATAGTCCAAGTGCATAGAGCTGCACTAATCAGAAAATGGGTGAATCATGATATGGTAGTTTTACCAAAAAACATATTGTTACAGAGATCTAATCGCAATTAGATTTTTTTTCACCATATCACCCACCCTGAATGCACCACCAAGCAAAATATTAGAGATGTTCAACTGAGACAACATTTCTTTGCGACTAAAACTAAGGCAAGGTTCAATATTAAAAAACTAATTTCCTTCCTTTTACTTCAGCTGATCGCAACAACACAAATGACTTATTTACATATTTTCAAAGAAATATTTTTCAGTCAACAGTCCAATACCCACTTTCTTTTAAGTGGATTGTCTGTGGATGTCCAACCTCATAAAAATGCCAAGCAGTACAACATCATCACGGACTGCCTCTTAATAGTTCAAAACAACATTTCACATTTTTATTTGACACTGCCTAATTAGAGGTGGGAGATATATATGAAAGATTCATAATAGCACAGTTGTCAAGATACGCTAAATTAGAATAATGATTGATTTTAGTATATTCAAAAAGAGAAACATTTAGTGCAATCTCCCAAACAATGGTATAAAGGCATATTTCTGCCTTCTGTGACTAATTTTATAGTCCACTTATATCATGTGTGATACTTGAACCCGATTCATTGTTACAATATCATCTGAATACTGTTATCAAGATCATGCAAAAAACTGCAAATTGTTGCCTCTACATTGTGAACAATCATTCTCAAAACTCTTGCAATTAGGGTGGGTGCCAAAAGAAAACAATCACAATTTTCTGAGAGCCAGATGACAATTTTGATTTTGCATTTACATTGCCTTGAAGAGGTAATTATAGTCATCTGCTTCTTCTGAAAATTCACACTATTGCAGCTGGTCACATCCATCTGTCTTTAACTCAGAACACTGATATACCAATAGCTGGTTTAAGTGGGGAAAAACAGTCCTTGCTTCATTCATTTTCCAAAATAGCGTTTCATCACAGGAATAAGTTAACAATTCAGTTTTTATCACCATATCCCCCTAGTTGCAATCATATGTAATGTAGAATAATTATATTATGATTAATATGCATTGCATAGACCAGTCCTACCTCTGACCCTTAAGCCCCCCACAGAGAGCAGACTCACCCGGTCCTTCATTCTCCAGCTTTGGGCCAGAGCCTTGGAGCCCTCAATCTTCTCTGAGTGCCTCTTCTTCATGAACGCCAGCGGCAACTTCCAGTCGTTCATGTCAGCCTCCTCTTCCTCAGCCAGAGCCAGCGCCGGTGAGTGCAGCTCTGAGTCCATCTTCATCAGTGCCCTGTAAGATATTCAGAGATAATGTTCTTTAGAGGTTCATCAGTATGTTTTAATAGCTTTGGTGCTCTAAGATTGTGGTCAAATAAAGTTTTCAATGTTTGTTGTTTTTTTTATAATAATAGACAAATAAAGGTATGAGGTTTTGTTATAAATCAACTTTGGATCTCCTAAGCTAACAATAATAGTCCTAAGTTTCCTAATCATTTATTGTGGCCTACTTTCTGTCTAAAAATAACATCACATCCCCAAGTTAATATATCAATGTTTTTCCCCTCTGCCACAGTCATTATGTAAAAACTACATATCACTTGCACTGATATTCTATTAATTCCTGTAACAATGTACAAAAATAATATAATTATACAATATGGCTCATAAATATATGTTGTCATTCTTTCATAGACTAAAGTAAAACATGAATAATTTAAGTTATGTATCCTATCAATACAGCTCTCAACGTCAGCAGTCTTCGAGCATCCAGTGAAATACCAGTTTTCACTGAGGGGGCATTTATCCATTTAAAGCTCAGCAAAAAAAACAAAAATGAGCCATCAGCAATAGGATAGGGTGCGTACTGCAAGAAAAAAAAAGCCACTTCAAAGCACAAACATTTTGAGCTAAAATAAACTAGTATCACTTCTGTTTTTCAGTTTACAGACTTTGTGCAACTTCAAAGGCCACACTTATGACTTTTTACAACCACTATTTTACTCAGAATCTATATATTTTTCAGATGTAGTTTTAACAGATCAGACATTGCAGACCAAAACATTAAACAGATTTTGACAACACAACAGAAAGAGACATTGAGACTGGATGTATGGCACAAAGCAATCAAAAATGTAAGCAATTCCTATAACCTTTAAAAATGCTACTTTATGGAAGAAAGTTCATAAAGCCCATGTATTGTTTCTTAGATCTATTAATGCAAAACAGAACTACAACATTTACTTTATTGATGTTTTGGTCTTGCATCTGTGGTTATGAAACTTTGCTTAATCTGGAGTTTCATTTTCTCTAAACTGTACTGATTTTCGGGGTAGAGGTTAGAGGGACTTGTTGCTTGTTGAGTTAGTTTGTGTACCTGTATGAATTCATGTTAACAGCCTCAGTCCAGGATCTGTGCTTCTCAGGTCTCAAATAAGCCGGGTAGCTCGCTGTTAGCAAAGCGCGGCTAATTTGACAGCTCCGTGCTAGCGCTGTCACTGTCAGACTGCATGTGTAGCTCAAGCTATTTAGAGCTTAGTTTCCAGCTAAAGTTGCGAAATGGCACAAGCAGTGAGACAGAGCAGATGTGCGGAATGGCGCTAGTCCAGCAGCGGAGCGTGCAGATGGCAGAAGCGTGCAAACCTTGGTCCTTGGTGAGTGTCAGCCCGTGCAGAGCCTCTCCGTCTGCGGCTGATCACAGACACAGTGGCACAAACTATCCGCGTCAGAAACTTGTATGGTAGCGTCCAGAGCCGGTACAGGAGGTCAAAGCCGTCAAAGCCCAGCAGGACGGGCGCGTGTTTGCAGGGGAATCCGCGGCTCCTCTCCCCGCGGCTCTTCGCTATGGAAAGCGGCTGGGAGCGAGGCCCATCTTCACACGGACACTCTGCCACAGCCACACGCAGCACCGGCCGCACGATCGAGCCCTGAGCACCGATACTCCTCTGCTGTAGGTCCGCGGCACCGCGGGACAGCCTCCTACTTTGGTTTTGGCGGAAAACGCACAAAGTCCCAAGAATTTCTCCGAAGAGGCACTTGTTCAGCACTGCAGCCAGGGCGCAGCCATGTTGGGTTGGACCCAGAATGCACCGTGAGCTGCGAGGGACGGCGTCTGACGTCACAGACGTACAGCTGGGACACGGCGTAAAATTCTCAAATTTTATTAAATTGCTTTAGTAGTTGAATGCGAAGGGGTATTTGGGTATAACTTGTCTTTAAATAAGCTAACTGAAAACTGTTTTGACAGTCTGGCAGTTGTAATAATCCTACCACCCTGCCTGCAACACATGACGTTGGCCTGAGACCGTAAACCCTGTGCAACACTGCGTTAAATGCTTTGACCTTTCTTGTAAGCACATACCATTGCTCAGTGGCCTGGTTGGCCTACTTCAAAATGTGCTGTCCCCCCAGTAACTCATCAGCAGGACAATCAAATCTGCAGGGCTGTCATATCTTGAAATGATCTCACCTATTTTACCTTGTCATTCTAATAAACTAATGATTTAATTACAACTACTTTAAAAGGCTACTTTAAATAGGCCTGCAATTGTCTACCTACTTATAATTCCTTCAAACATTTACCTACTCCTTCAATTTCTTTTCTTTTGTTGCTCAAAGAAATGTTCAGACCAACACATTTTTAATGTTGTCATTGGTACATGTATGCTGAAAGGCATCCTTGAACAGAAGACCTTCCCCATGTTGGCAAGTTCTCCATGTGCTCCAGTGATGTCAAAATTGCACTTTTTAAATGTTTTTGCTCACCCTTGTATACTGCGCATCTTTGGCGCAACTATAAGAAAAAGAGTTTGCAGAGTTTGACAGTGGCGTATAACGACTCTTTGAGAATATTACTGAAAGTGCCAAGGTTTTGTAGCACCAGTGAAATGTTTGTAAATTGTGATGTGAGACCCTGTGCTGTCATAATCGGGTGTTGTATTTATTCATTTATGTGTAGAGCAATGAATCTGAGTAATCAAATCATTGAAGCTCTAGTGTGTCCTGTGAGGAGCTCTAAGCTGTGGAGACACTGGCGGTCTTGTCTGTATACATTATAACATGCACTGTATTTATCTTTTTATTCTTATTATTTTCTTTTTAATACTATGAACCAGATATTATGTGTTCTTAATAAAGATTGAATTGAACTGAATTTTAGCAGATCCACAGTTGCTGCAGGGACAATAACCCTCAACTGTACTCATTCAGTGATCCTTGTGTTTTTCTGAAAAATGACAAATGTGGCATATTTATACCTTTTCACTAGTATCAGTAAGAATAGAGTCCAGTCTGGTTTCTGTAGGTAGAATAAATAAAGCTATTCTATCCTGATCAAGTAAATATAAGATCCTACTAAATTTTTTTCCCAACCAAAAGTCAAGTCAAATTAAATAACTCTTCGAAAGGAAAATAAAAGTGTGGTGGGGGTCGGCTACCTGCTTCTCTCCATGGAAATAAGTCTATTATTGTACAGCATCAAACTTATATATCTTTACTGGGGAGACAAGGATTGAGGTGACCCCACTCACAGCAAAAATAATGTTTTTAATTTTTTTTAATTTTCATAACAATACAAATTCATTTAATCAACTTAGTTAAAAATTTAAAGTTAAAAATAAACATAAACCATAACACCTTAGGTTAGGACACCCACCAAAAAAGTGACATAAAGTCAAAGTCCATGTCACGCTGAAAGCACTGCACTCATTTCTCAAACAGAGCAGGAATTTGTTTTTAATTCTTCAGATTCATCCCATCTGCCCCAGACCCTCAACACAGCATTTTGCATATAGTCACCAGGATTCATTACTCGTGTCAACAAGTTTACCAGTTTGTCCTCAGTCAACAAAGAGATTTGCTCGAAGCCCGCAATGACTTTAATCAAGCACAACAGTCTGTCTTGAACTAAAAGGACAATGTTTGGCTCACAGGGATGAGTAACCGCAGCTCATTAGAAAACATGAAAATGCTTCAGCAGATGGATAGGCCTGGACAATATCCCTCCTGGTGCTTTTTGTCAGAGCTGTAATCATCGCCTTGGCCTCTTTTTTGGTGCCAGCATTACAGCACTACCGCAATCTGGCATGTGTCACCAACAACATACAGGTAGGAGCATCCGGGGCCGAATTTAACGCTTGGATCCCAGGTTTTTAGTGTCCAGCGCTGTGGGAAATCAATCCAATCTCTGGGGTGTGATAGAGGTGGGGACCCGGATAGCGAAGAGGGAAAACAAGGAAGATTGGGGCTGTTTCCATCCTCGTTTGTCCTTTCTCCAAATAAAAGCATGTGGTGGCATGACGAACTGCATGTATCCCCTTTCCAAAGCTAAATCCTGTTTTTCCAGGAAGCTGATTGAAACCCAAAGGCAGCGGGAATGAAATGAAGGGAGGGATTTTGTGAAACGGCCTTGACCGTGGAGGACAAAGAAATATATTATTGCTCTATTATTGTTTAAAAATACAAATGTGAAATAAACGTTTACAGATCAGATGAATTATCACAAATAATATTTGAAGTGGCTCCAGTTATTAGAATTTTTTTTTATTGTGAAATAAGTTAAGTTGATGTATTGTTAGGTGTAATTTTGGTGCTATAATACAACACACATCATTGCTATATGGAAATTGCTAAATTTCTTTCAGCTTTATATTGCACTAAAATAAGTTTATTTTATACCCTGTTTTTATTTTTACACTTTGTTCATTATGTGTATAAATCGGGTTATTTTAATCAGATAAACATTTAATCTCGTCTCAGTAATATGATTTTGAGCATGATTTGAGCTAAATACAGAATTATCTTATGTCTTTATGTCACATGTGCATTTACACAATGACACATCAAATAGTCAGCTTTTAAAATATCTTAACAATGTGGTGAACACTGCTGTATTTATAGTTCTGTGTGGTTGGGTACATTCACAGCAGTGCGTGGAGTGCCTCAATTCAGTTTTGATGTTTTGGGACTTGCAAAACTCTGCAACAGTCATAGGGACAAACACATAAACAGGAAGTGTCTTTGATGGTTCAATGAGACTGAGGGGCTGAACAACTTCAGTGAATGAGAAAAAGGTTTATTTCCATTGATCTGTACTGATTTATGAGTGCTGGAGCCGTGTTCATCTTTAGATTATGGAGATTTGTCCCAACACCTATAGACCTGTAGACCTGTATCAGTATGAAGACAAATGAATCATGGGTAACCAAGCGCAATTATCTGAACACACGGTTGATCAGTACAACATGTCACCTCTCATCCAACAATTTGTTCATTTTACTTACTTATTTTACTTTTACATATTAATAATACTACTGCTACTACTACTGCTTCTAAAATCAATACTCTCTTAAGCAGGTAATCTGTCTGTACAGTCAGGCGTCATACATATCTCCATTTAGCTCTAGATCAGTCAGTTCAGACGTGTTCAAACACACATGCAATGAATGAACTGGAAACAACCAGATTACTTTAGAAAATCTGTTTTACACAGCAATATTTTTGTGATTTTGAACAAAAAGGTTGTAATTTAAACATGCAATAGCCTACACCTCATAATGAGATCCAAGCACTGGCACCGTCTCTCACACACATCGCTCATTTATACTAGGCAATGTGGGTGAAGTGTGTTATCTAAGGACACAACAACAATTTTTGCCGCTGGCACCCCAATGTGACACCTGATTTTCTCAACAGTCTCCCATCCAAGTACTAACCAGGGCCAGCTCTGCTCAGCTTTTGAGATCTACGTGACCAGATTTTCACAAGCCATGTGGTGTGGTGACCTGAGTAACATACTGAAAATCATTATTTGAACAAGCGAACAATAAAAGCAGGGTTACAATGGGGAGGTGTGGGTGAAGTTCAGTGGCGTGAAGACTCTGAGCTCTGAAGCTGCAGAAAGGTCAAGTAGACCTGGGACACACTGAGAGCAGAAGATACTAAATATGGATGGAAATAGGAAGTGCCAATGCGAAATTATGCTCATCCCTGTATGTTTGGACAAGAATAGATAAGAATGTTGTGACAGTACTCTAGGGAAATTGCACTATTGTAGCAAGGACCCCTACAGCTCAGTCCTTGTTATGTAGCCTGCATAATCAGAGGTTGCAATACTCCCTACAATAGAAGCATGGTCAGACTTGAATAGTCAATTATGTGTTGAGTGTTCCTGTCTCCAGGCCCGTATTGATCATAGACTGTATAAAGGAGTAAACTAAAGGAATATGACGTCAATCATAGCATTCAGCTCCAGTAAAATGAAGCTTGCAGAAGCTAGTCATGGTGTAAATGTTGAGCCAAGTTCCGTATTAGGAAAAGGAATTGATCTATGAACAAAACAGCAAAATAAAAACACCAGGATGACATAGAGCGGGTCAATATGATCATTTTAAGACCAAATGAGGAGTCTGATAGCATGGAGAGAGGGATAACGTTTTTCCAATACAAACTGAAGCTAAAGTCGATGGAGCCAGAAGCACACCCATGCTCACTTCCTATTTGAAACGCGGCATTTAGCGTGTGAGCTATGTCCATTTATGTATACAGTCTGGTACTAAAAACTCTTACGTAAGCCATCCAGTGTCTTCTGCATCTCTATACACTTCTCAGTCTACTTCAGTTATTCTACAACAGCAATAAGGTTGTGGCTTATTTTGTTACTTTTAAAAAAGTATACAATAATCGATTCTTGTAATAGTAGGAAAAGTATTGCTAAGTCATCTTCATTGGGTACAGTCACTGGAGGAATCACTAAAAGCAGATTTAGATGGCTTCCTCAAACTATTTGTAACATGTTGAAAATATGTCTCTCAGCATTGTTTTCATTGTTTATACCTGTACACTTACTTTTATTTAACCAATTAACCAATACAAATGGTAAGAGAACACTGGTAGAGTGACACAAATGTTTAAAACGAGTAAAGCAAAACATTTAACAAGACAAACATGGATGCACACACTACTCACAATATTCTACCAGCAAACCAATTACATGCTTAATTTATTTATGCATTGTACTGGCACAAGGAGGAAACATTATAGAGAATTACGCCTAAAATGCTGACATGCAAAAAGCAGATACAGTG